AAATTTATCTTTATTTTTAAATTTATAACTTGTCAAATAATTAAATTTATAAAAATGTTATTGAAATGTATGTAGTCCTGCAATTATGTTAAAATCAAAGAAAAAATTTGTATTTAATGTGAAATGTAAAATTTTATCGTTAACTAAAATCAGCAATAACAACAACAACAACAATGACATAATATAATATAATATTGTAAAATATTAAACAAACACTTGTAATAAACAACAGAATAAAACCAAACTTACAAAAAAAACAAAAAAAAAACAAATAATTATATATCTTCAATAAAGACAAAACTTGTTTGTGAAAAACTAAAAAGTAAACTAATGATAAATGAAATCCACAGGTAATGTTGAAGAGATTATTGACATATGAATAAGTATTCACATTAATTTAATTATACACGTGACAGACTGCTTGTGGTAAAAGTTCACTGCAAAGGTTCACTACTTACGGCAACGCATGTAACGGCCAGGCGGGCTTAAAATATATCCACCTTGCACTACTTAATGATCGATTCAGAATTATAATCCCAGTCGATTTAAGTTGTCAGTACGTCTGTCCATTTGATGCTTGTCTGTATGCTCTTGTATTCAATTTACCTGCGGTAACTTTTGAAGTACTTTAATAAAATCCCATTAATTGACGTGTTTTCCAAGATCCAAGAATGAATTTTGGCTCAAAATAGTTTGATTTCAGACCTTTATCTATAATATCATACACACCCCTTGTGGTGTAGGGTATATGAAGTTAGTGTAGCAACACGCTGAAAAGCTTCAGATAGACTCACCTTTTATTATGCCGAACGATTCAAAATCCTCATCTGAATTCATCTAAGCCTGTCTGCCCGCCTGTCCGTTTGCCTATGTTTAATTGTGTTCAAGTTACGGGGCGCAATTCTTGAGATATTTTGATGAAATTTGTTACAGTGACGTGTTTTGACCCAAGGACGCATGCTATATTCCAATGATTTGTTCTAATCATTTCGGAATGGTTTTCTGCGGTTGCAAAACTTTGACAGCAAATGAGAGCCAGAGGCGACTAAATCTGCCAAAGATGATGGATTCATATAGCATGTGCTTCAACTTCAACCATTGCATAAATTTTTTTGTCCTCGGTCCGACGGTTTTGTATTGATGATTACGTAAAAACACTATAGTGGAGCGCGACCCATCGTTAGGTAACCTATAGTACCTGTCAGCTATTCATACAGTAACTTTTCAAAATAAGCCGTCATATGGGAAGACGTCCAAAAAGGTGATGCTTTGAAAGCGCAACCAGTAACCCCTATGAATCTACATTAATGAGGTGAGAGCCCATCGTTCGTTTGACAACATTGGAACCTAGTTAAATTCTCATTTCAAAATAAAAGCAAAAAAATGTGGTCTGTCTGTCCCATCAGTTTGGAGGTAAAAAGTTTTGAAGCAGATTACTTTGGAGACGTCAGGCTGGCAACCAAATCAACGGCCACTTGCGGCGAGCCATAAGACCGGCGAAAGTCGTACTAGCGGCATGTGTATGCGCGCACAGCAATTTTGTAATTATTATATTCTTCTCTACTTATCTATTAGCATTTTTACATTTGTGGTGCTTGAAGCGAAGGCCCAAAAGAAGCAACCAAAAGGGATATGGAATGTCCTTGAAACATTGCAAATGTTTGGTGTCCCACTTGGAGCCGAAAGTCGAAAACATCAAAAAGACTTCTCAAGTTAGCGAGAAGTCCTTCTTAAACGTGCATATTAACAACGCTGATGGCAAGAGAAAAAACAGTGGAGAAAAAAACATACGGTGTACCAATAGCTTAGGAACCGTTTGAACTTTCATGTATATGTTAAGCTTTTGACCATAGACTATTTACCGTAGCTACGACCACCCAACAAGTGTAAAGTATGGTCTCTCGCATTGCGAATTGGTTTCGGCCATTGATAGTCACGCATCTTACCTGCTAAGCTATGCGACAGCCTTAGCTTAGAGTATCAATTTTCTCCCATCTTAATTATGTTTTACCTCTCTTGATGTTCATCTGTGGGCGTAGTCTTTATGGGCCGATTTCGGGGATAAATCATGCCTATTAGTAAGCTTTTTCGGTAATCCGAAGTAAAAACTGAAGGTATTTATTAGGACGAATCATAAGTAACTTCGGTTTTTGTATCAGACATTCATTTTGGTTTTATTGAATAACAAAATGTAACGGTTGATTGTGAGGTATTCAACCTTCTTGCTATAGCTCTTACTGATTGATGTGGATTTTAAAAGATCGTCAAATTTGGAAAGACGTCCCGCCTTTTAAGGCGGTATCTCCAGAACGGAATTTTTCAAACCAATTTCTACTTGTCCGATCAGTTATTAGTCATTCACCTTATAAGCTACATATTTCTTCAACTGTCGTCTTAGCGGTATTGCCTTGTTTAAATTCCCAAAGCATTACACGTGGAATATACACTTTTTGACTCTCCACTTCAAAGGTTAAGAAAAACAGTTGAAGGTAACATGCACCACACAAAACACTTCACAGAAGACTAACTGAATCCTTATATGTATAGCGAAAACAAAAACTCGTTTATTTCGGTGACTTATAGTGGGTAAATACGAATAATTGATTGTACCTATCTGCATCGGCAGTTATTTATGACTCGACCTAATAGTTAGCAATTTCTATGACAATCCTATAATGAACGCGGAAACGCAGGTAAATGGATGCACAACCAAAACGAAGTTTTCAAATTCCCTTGGGAATATGTGCGAAGGTCTGTAATGAAATAACAATACTAGTATGCCTCAGTTCGTGAGCAGTAAGGATAAATCTTCTATCTACAAGTTTTTTTTTCTAGCCATATATGTTTGGTTGGAAACAGATTCGGGTGAAAATCTTTAAATTTAACTTTAATAGAAGAAAACAGTTATATTTGTACATAAAAAAGAAATTAAATT